GCTGCCTCTCTGATTAATGCCCTCCTTGCCCGGTCCGTGAGTTTTGGTGGGCGGCCGTCTCTTGGCAGGTTTGCAGTTGTGCCATGTTCTTTCCATTTGGTTATGATAGATTTGATGGTGCTCCTGGGGATCATCAAAGATCTTGATATTTTTTTATAACCTAACCCTGACTTGTACTTCTCAACGACATTATCCCTTACTTGTTTGGAGAGTTCCTTGGTCTTCATGGCAGTGTTTTGTTAGTGGTGCCTCTTGCTTCGGTGTTGCAGCCTCTAGGGCCTTTGAAAAAAGGTGTGTATATGTAATGACAGATCATGTGACACTTAGATTGCACACAGGTGGACATCATTTCCCTAATTATGTGACTTCTGAAAGTAATTGGTTGCACCAGAGCTTTTTATGGGCTTCATAACAAAGGGGTGAATACATACGCACATGCCAATTTTCTGTTTTCTATTTCTAAAAAATAGTTTTATGTATATAGTTTTCTCATTTCACTTGACCAACAGACTATTGTGTTCTGATACATCACGTTAAATTCAGATTAATAAAACACTGATCTTAAGGCTGTAATGTAACAAAATAGGTAAAAAGTCAACAGGGTGAATACTTTTGCAAGGCACTGTATATCCCAGGACCAACTGATATATGTATTCTGCTTTGATCTTAAGTTTTATTTAATCTATTTTACAATTATATATATTGTTCTCAGTTGTATTGTCAATATGCATTTTACTTGTTACAATATTGTGTAAATATATAGCTATTTATATGCAAACAGTTTGATTCACCATACTCTGCAAATATGTATATGCTTTTACACTGTTTTGCTCTGTCTGAAATACTTTCCCATATGCAGTCTCCTTTTACCCCACCCCCCTACCCTATCTTAGCATTTTGCTCTCCCCTCCCTCTTCCATACACACACAAGCCAAGCCACTTGCGTCATGAAAACGCTCAATACCCCAACTAGATATCTCTGTTGAATAGCCTCGAAGCTTGAAGAAGTGCTCTTTAGTGAATAGCTCTATTACCCCCCAGAAACTAGACGACAGTTCTGGCAGTACAACTGTTTTTATTGAGCTGAATGTGGCCTTTTATGCACAGACCCCCAGCATGAGGTCTCTATTCAGTACATAAAGTGCACACCCGGGCCTCTCTGTCTGGGAGATTATTGTGTTGCAATCCGCTAAACTAATTATCTCCCGGATACATAGTGCCAAACACAAAAATACCCCCAAAACATAATAAAGACACACAGGAACCCCACACATGCTGGAGCATTCTTCATCCCAAACGGCATGATACGAAATTGGAATAAGCCAAATGGGGTGACGAGCGCCAACTTAGGGATGGCATCCTCGGCTAAGGGAATTTGCCAGTACCCCTTACATAAATTGATTATAGTACTGGCCTTGGGCCATTCTATCTAGGAGCTTATCTATTCTATGCATGGGGAGTGTGTCTGACACTATTTTATTTGTTTAATCTCCGGCAGTCTACATAGAAGCTGGTCGTACCGTCCCGCTTTGGTACTAGCACTACTGGGAAGGGCCCTAGCTGCAGTTGGTTCTCCCTTTCGGCTTGAGCCATGAGGTAGGCACTGAGAGAGTTCGGGCTACGGTTTCCTCAGAGGAAATTCCGCCATAGATGGGGAGGGGTAGTTTCTGGTGAAATTGGATGATGTCTGTATATATGTATGTATTTTAGGCTGTTTAAAAGTCAAATTTAAATCTATATTGCTTCAATCATTTTTGATTTTTAAATTAAATAAGCATTCAAATGAATACATATACCCCTCTTCTCTTCTGCAGGATGATGTTTGGTACAATGAGGTTTGTAATCTATCCAATTGGTGAAAAAAAAATAAAGAAACATTCCTTGAAATTACATTCTTGAGAATCTCCAAACAACCAGTTTTTTCTGAGTTCACTCTATTATTTCAATGCAATAAATACATATTAAATTTAATTTTTTTTTTCATCATCTTTGTAGTTGAAAAGTATAGGAAATACATATATTGTTTAGTTGTGTAGATATGTGACCTTTGATGCTATATAAATAGTATGTATGTCTTGTTTACTGTATTTTTATTGCTTTCTTCTTGTACAACAATTTGCTTCAGAAATGTGATGCTGTGTCCATGACTTTAAAAAGAATATTTTTCCACAATTAGTTGCAGTGTCACTGATCTATGTTTATTAAAATTAACCTTAAGGCAGTATTAAAGTTTACATAAAAAGGGGACATGTGTTTGTTTTTAATATGGAGAGTTGTCATTGACTTTTATTTATAGTGACATGCAATAAAGGAGGCGCCGTCTTCGTAGTTTGTAATGGTTTACATTTTGCATGCCCAGACATCCCAACATGTAAAAACTAAATTCAGGTGGGTAAGTAGGGGGCATTTACCATGTGTAATATCCTGGAAATCAAGGGGTTAGCTGCACTCATCTAAACATGCTTAAATTGGGTGCTGCTGGGGGCCAATAAGTACAGTAAAAATGAAAATCCAGCGCACTCCCTTATCTACTAAACAGCTACTTTGGTGCTGACCGATTTTGCTAGTTTTATTAAAAACACCTAATCTAGGCAAAAAATAATGGGGGTTTAGTTACATTATATCATCATACATTGCATAAGCCTGTATTCAGAGGACTTGGGTGTCTTCCTGGGGTATGCAAAATTTGCATAAAGAAGGGTCACACCCTGTTATACATGCACCAAGGAAAATACCTCTAGCTCTTCAAAGCAGGGTGAAGCAAGAGCTCTCAATGATGGAGGAACTAGGAGTGATCAAAAGAGTCACAGAACCATCTGAATGGGTCAGCTCCATGGTGGTGGTAGAAAAGAAAAACACAGGAGCAATCAGAATATGCATCGACCCATGTGACTTAAAGGACCACTCTAGGCACCCAGACCACTTCAGCTTAATGAAGTGGTCTGGGTGCCAGGTCCAGCTAGGGTTAACCCATTTTTTCATAAACATAGCAGTTTCAGAGAAACTGCTATGTTTATGAATGGGTTAAGCTTTCCCCCTAATCCTCTAGTGGCTGTCTCATTGACAGCCACTAGAGGCGCTTGCGTGCTTCTCACTGTGATTTTCACAGTGAGAGCACGCAAGCGTCCATAGGAAAGCATTGTAAATGCTTTCCTATGCGACGGGCTGAATGCGCGCGGAGCTCTTGCCGCGCGTGCGCATTCAGCCGACGGGGAGGAGAAGAGGAGGAGAGGAAGCAGAGAGCTCCCCGCCCAGCGCTGGAAAAAGGTAAGTTTTTAACCCTTTCCCCTTTCCAGAGCCGGGCGGGAGGGGCACCCTCAGGGCACTATAGTGCCAGGAAAACGAGTATGTTTTCCTGGCACTATAGTGGTCCTTTAAGGTAATCATGAGAGAACATTACAGATTACCCACTCTAGAGGATATAGCACATAAACTTGTTGGGGCATCAGTGTTCAGCGTGCTAGATGCACAATCTGGGTATTGGCAACTGCGTCTAGATGAGACTAGCAGTCGGCTCACCACGTTTAACTACTTTGTTGGACGATGGCGCTTCACAAGAATTCCTTTTGGGGTAGCATCTATTCAGGAAATATTACAGAAAAAAAAATCATATGAGCTAATTTTGGATCTGCGGGGTGTGAAAGTTATAATTGTTGATTTGTTGGTCTATGGCAAAGTCCATGTCGAGCATGACCAAAACCTAATTGCACTTGAGCGGTGTCGTGAGAAAAACTTGAAACTAAACCCAAACAAACTTCAGATTGGAATTAAGGAGGTAAACTACTTTGGACACAATAGAGAGAGTGAGTGTCCTTAAAATATAACTTTTAATGGTAATTCTAAAATATAGTCAAAATTTCCAAAATAGGAATAATATAGTGATAGACTAAGGTATATACATATTAATATTCACAAGTATAATTATAAACCGAGGTATATACATATTCTAGTTAGTAACTTGTCAATAGGAAAATATGTGAATACGCCCTGTAAGCCTCAAATAGGTAGGGTACAGGGAAAAGTATTTAGAAGCCTTATCAAATGGTATCTGCACAGAATAGTTTGTGCAGACCACAGTGGTTAGTGGTTATCACTGGCTATAAAAAAAAAAGCCTTATCAAGTGGTATCTGCACAGAGTCGTTTTTGCAGACCACAATGGCTGGTAGTTGTCACTGGTTATAAAAACAATAATAAATAACTGAAGTATATGTAGACAGGGCCAGATTAAGAGCCCAGTGGGCCTGGTGCTGACAATTATTGCGGGCCTAATTACAGAATCATATCGACCAAAAACAGTAAAACACTCCCAAGCATCTTGTATCTGATGGAGATGGTGCTGGAGAGAAAGAAAACAGAAGCTATAAGAAAACACATACCCTAGGCTAATCTCTCTCTAATTTATGTTTTCATCTTTCAAGTAAATCCATAACCCCTAACAGCAGTGTCCAGTCAAGCAGGAAGTCAATGGGCATGGTAAAAGGGTGACACAAATCACGTAACCTGCCAAAAGGGGCGAACATGCCCAAAAAGAGGACATGTCTGCTCAAAGAATTAGAAGGCCAGCCTGGCATGAATGCATGTCAGGCTGCCTGCCAATCATGCAGCTGGCCAACTAAGGGCATACTATGCAGACAGCACCCTGAGCTTGGCATAAATGCATCTAATGATGCGCTCACTCAACGCTTTCTAAGGACTGTCCCCTAGCACTCGCTGGTCCACTTGTCTCCTTACCTTCTTATTAGCAGGCAGAAGCTCCTGGTATATGGTCTGGGACAGAGAAAAGCTGTATGTAGTGAGTGTAGAAGAAAGGGAACATGCCACAGTGTTAGAGAGACCAAAGTCAGCATTACCTTAAAGGATCACTATAGGGTCAGGAACACAAACATGAATTCATTACCCTATAGTGTTAACACCACCATCTAGCCCCCCTGGGCCCCTCATGCCTCCATAAATATAGCAAAATCCTACTATATTCAAGCCTGAAGCTGTAACTCTGCATGCTGTTAGACTCATAAAAACAAGCAGTCTGCTGACATCATTAGAAGTGGTGGCATGATCCAATCACAGTGCTTCCCCATAGGATTGGCTGAGACTGACAAAGCGGCAGATCAGGGTCAGAGCCAGCATGATTCAAACACAGCCCTGGCCAATCAGCATCTCCTCATATAGATGAATTTAATTAATTAATCTCTATGAGGAAAGTTCAGTGTCTGCATGCAGAGGGAGGAGACACTGAATGTTTGGATGCATTTTAGGCAGCCATGACCCAGGAAGGATCTCTAACAGTCATCTAAGGAGTGGCCAGTGAAGTTATCACTAGGATGTAATGTAAACACAGCATTTTCTCTGAAAAGACCGTGCTTACAGCAAAAAGCCTGATGGTAATGATTCTACTCACCAGAACAAATTCAATAAGCTGTAGTTGTTCTGGTGACTTTAGTGTCCCTTTAACTATATTTATGGTCAGCCAGTCCACACAGGTTTTGTTCCCATACATCCCTCTTAAGTTTCCATACTTAAGTAAGAGTATGTGAAAAGTAGTTAGGGTTGCCACCTTTCTTGGAAAAACATACCGGCCTAACTAATTTGCATAATTAAATATGTGTGGGTGACATCACATGATGTAAATAACAAGGAGTGACATAAGAGAAAATGCTGTAAAATCACCAAAAAAACTACTTAGTTTAAATCTGCTGTATAGATGGATTCCTCCCCCGTGCCCTCATGACTCAGTGCCCCCATGTGTCGATTACTCCAGGTCTCCCAGTGATCCTATGTATCAGTGTCTCAATGCCCTATGTCTCCCTGTGTCCCCATGTATCCCAGGGTTCCCATGTCACTAGGACACTAGGAAGACGGGGAGACCTGGGGACACGGGGAGACCTAGGGACACGGAGACACCAGTGACACTGGGAGACTAGGGGACTCTGGCTGGGACACATGGGGACAATGGGAAAATAGGGGACACTTTAAGACATGGGGACACAGATACTAGAGACACTGGCTGGGGGACATGGGGACATTGAGACATGGGGACACTGGGAGACATGGGGACACTGAGACACCAGGGCCACAGACACAATGTCCTTTAGTGTCTCATTGTCTGCCATAATGTTTCCCAATGTCCCTTAGTGTCTCAGTGTCTCCCATAATGTCTCCCAGTATCCCTTAGTTTCCCAGTGTCTGCCATAATGTCTCCCAGTGTCCCTTAGTGTCTTAGTGTATGTCTCCTTGCAGCCTTTCCCCCATCCCTTACTTCCCTGAGCTGTAGGCTGTCT